GTACCCTCATTTTTTCGCGACTTGAGGTAAGTTTCCAGGACGAAATTTTTTTCAAGGGGAATGATTTCTTTTGAAAATTTTAATACGGTAAAACTTTGAGTAAATAGTAGTTAAAACTTAGTTTTAGCTTGTAAATAAATGAAATCGTTGTACTATAACTTTTACCAACTAGGTTTGATGTACAAAAGTATGTTGTAAAAGTTTGGGTTGTAGTTAGAAGGGTTTGGAATGGATTAGAAATGAGAAATAGAGGAAATAGGTAGAATCTGGGGATTTTTAGCAAAGAGTACTGGTACGCGTACCGGTACATTGAACTCTGGAAGCCTCAGCTAACCAGTACACGTATCAGTACACCTAGTAAATTCCAAAAAAATTTTTAGTCACGAACAGCCGGCCTTTCTTCCACTATAAATACCTAAGGATGTCCTATTTAACCCCATTCCAACACTTCTAACCCTAGGAAACCTTAGAAAGGAAGAAAAAGAGGGAAAAATACAAGATAAAAGGCAATTTGCACATTGGATTGGATCAAAACCCTAATTTTTTAAGAACACCAAGGTAGGAGTTTCTTCCTATTCTCTTACATTGAGGCTAGGACTTATAAATATGTATTCTTTTGACTCTAAATCTGGTATGAAGGCTATGAAATCTTTGATTATTGCTATTCTAGCAATTATTACCATGTTTTAAATAATGTTATGGTTGGGTAACCATTAAAGCTCTTTTTTTCTCATCTTCAAACCCTAGTTTTCAAGAGACATGGGTTTTTTTCTCTTGATTTTTCCTTTATTCTTGACTTCAAAACTTTAGTGCTTTATATTGAACCACAAAATGGTATTCGTGATGATCTCTTGCATATTTTCTTAAATTGTTCTCTTGGAATACTACTTATGAAAATTTGGGGATTTTGATTTATGATTTATTATTGAGAAATGGTTGAGTATTGTATCTCTTGAGGATGTCTGGATGACCATGGGTGGCATTGACCGAGTATCGTAGAGTGGGTAGATGCGTTTTTACTCCGTGCAGATTTGAATTTTTCCTACCACTTGTAGTGGGGTTAGTGCCTTGCGAGGACCAAATCACTATTCGTTCACGGGTACTGAGACTGAGGGTTAGTATACTATTCCTGGTTTGGATTCGTTATTGCCATTGTGTTGGTAACGCCCTTCCTAAATGTTGGATATCCTTGCGAGGATTTGAGTGTGTGTGTGTGGGCCAGGATATTCTCGATGTGTTTATTCATACGATGTCTTACACCAATCTTGAGACACAGATACATTGTGGTTGATTATATATGGTGGGCTGTGTCCATGTACAAATGTTGGAAATGGTTTATTGTTGGGAAATATATTTTATTGTTCATTTAATTATTTCTATTAAGTAAACTTGAGATCTATTGAAATGTTCCTGTTTTATTTCAAAATTGATATATAATATTTGCGAAATGAGACCGACTTGCTTTATATGTTTTCTAAACCTTGTTTGAGATTGGGAGGAATGTTGCTACAGAGTTTAGTGCTCACCCCCTACAAACAATATATTTTTAGATTACGTGTTAGATGAGGAGCTCAGAGTCGATGAACAAGTGCATTGGGAAGCTCCGCTCGATGGACATGTGGATCCCGAGGTGGATGCTTAAAGCTATACTCTCCTATGTACTAGATTAGGGAATTCCTTTGAGACTCATTGGAGTCTAATATTTTTGTTATTCCGCTGTAAGTTAAATTTGATTCTTTTGGATGTAGTTGTCATGGTTGGAAAAATTCTATTGGGATGATGTTGTAAATATTAGATATAATGAATGAATTTTTATTTATTGATGAATTTTATTAGTTGCTCTGATGATGTGAATGATTTTAAATTGTAATGCCGTCCAATGTGATTTTTGGGGCGTTATATAAATTCACAATCTTTAGACGATAAATAAAATCAATCAAATTTTGCTCATTTATAAACTCATGAATTTATCATCACTATCATCATTCAACCCCAAGTAACACAATATAATTATAAATTTAATCACTAAATGTTCAATCCTCCACATGTAAATATACACAAAAATACACTCACACACATTTCTTTTTTTGTTACCAACAAACCTTATAACCAATAATTACTTTTTTTGTAGAAATACAATAATTTAAGTTTTTAAGGTCAAATAATAATATATTAATGTTTAATTAAAAAATAGGGTAAAAAACTAAAAATCATGAATATTCCCTGAGTTTTGAAAATATTACATGAACACCTCCTGATATTTTATAAATAACACGGAGAGCCCCTGAGGTTTGTTATTCATTGCACGGAGACCCCTCTGTCTCCCTTTTGTCAATGATGCAAACAAAAATTGATAATTTTATCCTAAAAAATTTTATTATTTTTACAATTGTCTTTCTCCAAATTTAGTACCAAAAAAATTAAAAATTTAATAAAATAAAATAAATTTTGATTTAGTACTCAAAAAATTGATATAATTTAGTACACCAAAAAATTGATTAAATAAATTTTAATATTAATTTTATATTACTTTGATAAAGTCGAATATAAATTAGAGAAAATTAAGCAATTTTTTGATAAAAATATATATTAATTTACAATCTAAGGTTCATTTTATGTTAAATATTATTTGGTGTTTATAGTCAATGTGCTATTTTTTATTTGCATTCAGTGTTATTTACAAATTAAGAAGCAAATGAAAAAAAATACATCGGTCAGATATATAAAAATTTTGAATTAGTTTCAGGAAAAAAATAATTGGATGACATGTAGTTTCATATGTTTTATGGAGTAAATAATAGCAAAAATAACACAAGAGAAAAAAAAAAAGATAATAGTATGAGAGAGAGAGTGTAAGATATATAGATAGATAAAGAGAATTATATGAGAGACTTAGAGTTGTAAAAAGAATAAAAATCTAATTAGGACCATCAAATCAAAACGATCTGAGCCGCGAAAAGCTAAAGACAAATATCTAGCTACTTTATTATATAGATATAGAGATAGAGAGGAGATGAAATAGTGTATTTAAAACATTTAAGCGATAAGAGAGAGAGAGTTGTATGAGAGATAGGAGTATTAGAGTTAAGTTCAATTATGACCATCAGATCAGTATTTATGAGATGATCTGAACCGTCTTTTATATTGAGATTACGTTGTCCGTTAGATATGTTTATGTTTTGTCTCAAAATAATCTGGACTTCTCTTTGTCTCTGGATTCAAATTCAGCTCTATTTTATTATATAGATTTTCTTGTCTTGCTTGGTTGCCACCACTCAACCCACCTCTTTTCTCGCATTGGTCATGCCTGTTCCCTTCTTTATTATTTATTATTTATTTTTATTAATTTTCTAATATTAACAACTGTGTTCTATTTAATCTATATATTTTCTTTTTTGTATTTTTAGTCATAACTTGTTTCTTGATTGCTTTTGATCAAGACACAGTTTATTGACTACTACTTTGATTTGTGTAATTTCTTGAGAATTTGATAAAGACATTTATCTCAAGAATCTTAACTCGAATGTTATTGCGCCCAAAAAAAAATATTTTGAGTAACTTTTCCTATGTGACTTTGAACTAAGAATTTTATCTAGGTGTCAAAGTAGCCAATTTCTATTTATTTACACACATGGTCCCAAAATATAGCTAAAATTTTGACATGTGACTAAAATAAGTCCTTTTTAGATTCAATTACAATTTATGAGACCTATGATCATATGGATACTTTAATTCTTAACCAAGCCTTGCAATTGACTATGCATGTCAAAGACTCAATCAATCAGGTGTGACAGGTATGCTTTTATTTGTATATTTTTAAAAATTTTAATTTATGTTTTTTTTAAATTTATTTTAATTTACTTTTTTTAATTTTATCTTTCAATTTCTTTTTTTTAATTTTATTTTTTTAATCATGTAAATGCTTTCCAAGTTGTCCTTAAGGACTGTTTAGTTCTTCTTCTCTGATTGTCAAAAGCTTCTTAATTTGTTTTTATTTTTTCATTTTTATCATCACAATTTTTCATTCCTTATTTTTAGTTATTGTTTGTATTATTCTTGATCACCATCATGTGCATCATAATTTTCTTTTCATGGCTGCCATGCGTGATCCCATTTTTCTTTATTTTGCCATATTATTATTATTTTTGACATGTGTTTCTCTTCTTGTTACGTTATTTTTATTCTTTTTTTCCTTATTGGTTAATATTTTATTATTTTTTTTGTTATCATTTAGTTTGTTTCTTCTTCATTATTATTATTATTATTTTTAGCCTTTCACTTTTTAATTGACGACTTTAATCGAATGACTTTATCTTAAAACTTTAATCTGAACATTTTTTTATATATACAATATTCTCTTCAATTTTTGTTGTCATAAGTACACAAGATTGTTTTTTGTTGGTCTTTTGATAATCGGATCCAAATCTTCTCAATTACCTCTTCCCTTCAATTTTACTTAATACACAAATAAATGAATGACACGTGTCTAAATTTAATCCAACAGTCTAGATTTCTGCCAAGCAACCACACTGTTTAAACCATAGTTAATTGTACAACTAGAGACATTCATTGAGATAACTAACTATACATGTTAAATTGCATTGCTTTTATTGTCTATGTTTAAGCCATAATGGAGGGAATTCGAGTATCAATTTTTGGCGCTGAAATTTCTTTCAATTTTCAGCCAATTTATCTTGAATTTTATTTTGTTCCAGTTCTACCCTCACTACTCAAGAGACAAGGTGTGTGTTTCTCATATATAATCTCTCTTATTTACACAAAACACTTTGTTGGTTGATCAATTATGTATTCTTCCTTCTTCCCATTCTTCATGTTCATTATCTTATTTCTCTTTTTTTTTTTTTGGATGTGATACACAATTATAAATTGCATATCTCTCATGCCCATGAACTGTTTGTTTAATTGACTAAATGATGGTTTTTTTTTATCTCTACTTTGGGTGTTGACATTTGTTTCATATAATTAATAATAACAGATTTATGGAAGCTATGGTCAATGAATGTGAAGACAACTTTGTTGATGTGCCACATTCTAAGCCTGATGTGCCAATGAAACTTGGGTTGGATTTTGATTATGATGATGAAGCATTTCCATATTACAATGAGAGTGCTGGAGCCATTGGTTTTAGTATTCGGAAGGAGTATGTGAACAAGAATAAAGTCCATGGTTATTTACATCTAAAAAGTTAACTTGTTATAAATAAGGTTTTAGAGGGAATGACAAGCGAAATTCCATGGTGAAGAAGCATAGAAAGGAGACTAGAACTGGTTGTTTAGCTCCCATTGTTATTAGTCGTCAATCAAATGGAAAATTTTGTGTTACTTCCTTTGAAGCGAGGCATAATCATCTTCTTGTTCCTATGTCAGTTGTTCACATATTGTTATCACAAAGGAAGATAAATACGGTTCATGCACATCAAATTGACTTAGCAGATGATTCTGGAATATGTCCTAAATCTGCTTTTGAGGTTGCAATTCGACAAGCTGGTGATCGAGCTAATCTTGGTTATACTATCACTGATCATAAGAATTATCTTCGTGACAAATGGAGAAATGATCTAAGGCGGGGGGAAGGAAGTAGCATACTAGATTATTTTGAAAAAAGAAGATCAAAAGATCCTGTTTTTCACTTTTCGATTTAGTTGGACGATAATGACTTGACAACAAACACAGTATGAGTTGATGCAAAAATGAAGATAGACTTTGATGTTTATGGGGACATTGTGTCCTTTGACACTACATATAGGACAAACAAAAATTATAGGCCTTTCGCATTGTTTGTTGGAATGAATAATCACAGGCAAATGGTGATTTTTGGTGCTTCCTTATTATATGAGGAGACAACTGAATCGTTTAAGTGGATTTTTGTGAGATTCTTAAGGGCAATATCTAGGAAAAAATCAATATCAATTATCAGAGACCAAGATCTAGCTATAGCTAAGGCAATTTCACAAGTAATGCCAGAGACATATCATCGGTTAAGTATATGGCACTTAGAAAAAAATGTTTGTATGCACCTTAGCCATGCCTTTAGAGGTCATGATTCATTTAGCAGTAATTTTGGTAAGCTTTTTCACCACTACGAGGATGAGCAGGAATTTGTGAATGCTTGGGATGCTATGCTTGCGAAGTATAATCTCAGGGAAAATGAATGGTTAAAGAAGACATTTGATTTGAGAGAGAAATGGTCCATTTCATATGGAAGAAACTGGTTTTCAGTCAGCATAAGAAGTACCCAACTGAGTGAGAGTTTCAATGGGTCTCTTAAGGATACTTAAAATTTGATTTGGATTTGGTGCAATTTTTTAAGCACTTTGAAAGGGCAGTTGATGATAAATGATACAATGAGTTGACTGCTCTTTTTGACATGACACAATGACTCCCAATATTGAAGATTGAATTTCCATTATTAAGGCATGCAAGGGATATTTATACATCTACTATATTTGATATGTTTCAATATCAATGGGAGAAGTCATTGCTTGTTACGATTAAGGATTGTAGTGAAGATGAAATGTATCGCATATACAAGGTTGGAGTCTGCGGAAGTACTCAGTAGCATATGATTATTTCATACCCATTAGAAATAATGTTTTCTTGTAGTTGCAAATTATTTGAATATCTTGGGATACTTTGCAGGCATGCCTTAAAAATATTTGATGTTATGAATATAAAAGAGACTATCCCAAGCCATTACATCTTGAAAAGATGGACAAAGGTTGCTACTGTTATAAATCCAATTGAAATAACCAAAGACAAGGAAGATGATCCAGTCTTGGAAGCCACCAAAAGGTATAGACATTTATGTCCGACTTTTGTTTGAATTTCAACTGAAGCTTCAGAATCTAGAGAAGGATATGAAGTGGTTGTGGAGTTCGTTAATGAGATAATTGCAAAGCTCAAAGATGTCACAAAGGCAAGATGCGAAGCTCAAGTAACTTCATCGACCAGATTTGATGATTCACTAAATAATAATGGTGCAAAAGTCTTTGTTGACAATTCAAATGTTACAAAGGTGGTTGGTTTAAAGAGAAAGGATCCAAAACATTGTGGTAACACTCGACTAAAAAGTTTCTTGGAAAAGGCTTCAAGAAGTAAAAAGAAGGCTTCATCAATGCAACCCGCTCCGACTCATGTCCAGTTGGTAATTTTATTTTATCTTATTTAATTTTTTAAGGCAGTTTCTGTAACACCCCAAAACACACCTTGAGCGGCATTACATTCTAAAATCATTCATATCATGAGAATACTAATATAATCCCTTAAGAAACAAGACTTCATTTGTCATCCATGAATATTTACAATATTATCCAAAAGAATAAGCCCAATTCATGACTATTACATCTCAAAAATTAATTAAAGCAGCGCAGTGGAATAAAAAAAAGAAGCTGGATTACACAATGTTCCAAAAGAATGTCCTAGTCTAGTACAAAAGGAAAGGAGGTCACTCTATACGCCCACCTCGGGATCCACACTCCCGTCTAGTAGAGTCTCCCAGGTAGCGGGCTCCTCGACCCTTACGTCCTCTTCCTCAAGTGGGTAATTTGAAAAATGTTAGCGATAGGGGGTGAGCACGAAGCTCTGTAGAAAAATTCTCCCAAACTCATACAACTTTTAGAAAAACATTTAAAATGGTCGGTCTCAATTTTAACATAACATAGATACATAATTTGAAATAAAGCAGTGTCATTTAAAAATGATCTCAAGTTTATTTAAAAACATTACTTAAATGAATAAACGAGCACCACATACAAATAATAACCATTAATTGGTACAACAAATTCCCAACATTACTTTTGGTAGGTGACATACTTTGTGGTAACCTCCACCCCCCTTTAGGTCACATTTGATTCTCAAGCATCCTTACCAGAAACTTCTTGAGAATGGATGAGCATTCTTACATGGAACCTCTCACCAATCACTACATTATTTTTCAAGCATCCATACTGGGAACCTCTTGGGAAGGAGTGAACATCCTTACAAGGAACCTCTAACTCATGTGCATCACAAACAACCCAACCAAGCATACCATTCCAACATTTATCTCAATTTACAAGCACCTATCCAAAATCTCCAAAATATATCATGTAACAATTCCACAACCAACTAAGAAAATACATGAGATCACAATAACATCATTTTTCTACCCAACACAAAGCACTAAGATTTTGAAATCCATAATAAAAAAAGCATTTAGGAAGGAAATACATCACTCTCCAAAAATTAGAGTTTTAAAACTGGAAAGGAGATTTCATGGGTATTAAACCCTACTTTGTTCAAAACATATAATCCTTGTAAAAAGCCTAAAAGAGGATGATTCCATAGCATATATATATACCATTGATAGCCAAAACATACATATATAAATACCATAGCCTCAATGTAAGTGAATGAGAGAAAACCATCTGCCTTGAATCCTTAGTTTGTAGGAAGAACTTGAGCTTTGATCTTGAATCTACCCTCAAATCTCTTATTTTTCACTTCCTTTCTTCCTCTCTAATGCTCTCTAAGGTTCCAAGAGGTGTGGGGGTGAGAGTGGAGTGAAATAAATGAGGGCAAATGGGATGAAAATGAGGTTTAAAACACCTCACCCCGAAATTCACTGTTCACAGTCTGTTTTGGTTTTCTCTAAAATTACAATTTTGCCACTAGGAATCTCCAATTTGATTCATATGACTATCCTAAGGTTTTTCGACGTTCCGGATTCATTTTTAATGTTATTTTAACTTAAAAATTTTAGTTTTATGATTTATCTCAAAACCAAAGTCAACGTACATCCAAAACACTAAAGTTTCTATTTTACCCATCCGAATTGATTATTAATGAAGTTTTGGGTTGTTTGCAATAAAAGGTGATAAATGGTGCTTCTTAAAGCCTTTTATACTTATTCGAAGCCTAAATGTACTCATTATTCTTATATTTTGATTTAGGATGCAAATGGAGACGTTAAATGCAAAACGAAGCTAATTGGACTATTTTAACATTGCGTTGTTATTTGGGCATAACTCTCTCATCCGAACTCCGATTATATGATTCAAGATGATATGGAATGATAAGAAAGAGATATAAAACTTTCAACTTTTGAGTTTTAAGAGATATTGATTTTATCAAGGTCTAAATCGGGCTTGAAGTTGCAGCCAGTGCATTGTTCAAGCTAATTGGGCTATTTTGACATTACTTCGTTATCTAGGCATAACTCTCTCATTCGATCCGATTGAGATGATTCAAGATGATATGGAATTCTAAGAAAGATTTCTACAACTTTCAATTTTTGCGTTTTGAGAGATATTGACTGTATTAAGGTCAAAATCGCGCTTGAAGTTGCAGTCAGTGCACTGTTCACGTGCACTGTTTCATCCCTTTTTCATTTCCAATCCATTCCTAAGCCAACCAAATCCATCCCAAACCTCTCCAACACATATTTCTACACCAAACCTATTTAATACAAGTTCTAGGACCTAAAATTTCATAGTTTCACTTATTAAAACCAAATTTCAATGATTATTTCCACTAACATTTTAAATCTCTACTATTCTAATCTACCAAATTCAAACACACATCACTACACATATCCATATTTTTACCACAATTATTTACTATATATCTATATACATATGTAAAAGAAAATGCGGGGTGTTACAATTTCATAATCTAACTTTTTTCAAAATGCTAGGGACTAGAGGTACCGGGTTATAATTCTTGGTGTATGTCTCAGCAATCTCAAGTATTGCCTCAAGGAGACTTGTCTTAGCTAATGAGAGTTAGTATCTATTTGATTAAATACCTCTATATTGTGCATTTTCAATATGCACTACAAAGACTAACTTTTTCTTTTATTTTGCAGACAATGGATACAGGTTTCAAAGTGCAGAGTTCACAAGAAAGTCACAATATTTTGTTCAAAGACTACTTCGCTAATACATTTTGGAAGAGTGTTCTCAATATACCAATGGGGCATCAATGTTTGGAAGGTATAATTTGTTTTTTTTTTATGTAGCTTGATTTTATTTCTTATCCCATATTAAAAGTTCGACTACTTTTATTAGCCAAAAAAAAGGGATTATATGTCTGTTGCGATGCCTTGGCTAATCAGGCAGTGCAAAATGGTTTTTCCTTTGATTTTTCTAGATCTAGTCAGGTGCTTGCTGCTGTTATTTTGCTAATAATAGAAGATCAGATGCGTTTGCCGGTGTTGAGAATCAGAAATGTGGTTGTTTTTTATGATCAATGATGATTTGGGTTGCTTTGTGCTTAGCTGATGGCCACAGGTTGTGTAGTTTTTTTATTTGCTGACTGGTTCAAGATTGAAGATCTTCATTGGGTTTTTGAACCTTATGCTCCATCTGTTGGGAGGATGATCTTGTACAGTGGTATACTGCCTCCTTAATTTCCTATTTTTGGGTAGGGTGCTTGAATCCTAGGAAGAGTTGTAAGATTTTTTGAGGAGTTTTGAAGGATTAAAGCCTTGAGTGTATTTCAAACTTTATAATGTTTGATTTTTTGTAAAAATTTGCTTCTTGTAATGCTTAGTTTCAATTTATAACTTTCATTCAAGACTTTTGACAAACACCTTATGGTCAATAGAGTTGTCCAAACAAATCTACCTGTATATAAAAATTGACGCCGAACAACTTGATTAAAATGAACCAAGAAATATGTTGCATGAATCATGATGAAAGAAGGGAGAATTATTAGTTAGCTCCATATTGTTTCAGCTTATAACAAATTATTTTACCATATATTATATCATAAAATGTTATGCAGTTAACGTTATTGTGCTACTGTGATGGGTATTTTTTGTAATTCTTTGGTTTAAATCTGCTGCATGAATCATGTAACCAAGAAATATGTTGCATGAATCATGTGGAATCACTCGATCGGTTTTTGGTGCCCTGGTTGTAATTCTTTGGTTTAAATCTATTAAATTTCTCTCTTTCTTTAAAAAAAAAGCAGTGCAATTTAACGTGTATAGTAAATTTTCTCAATGAATGTATCCAGCTTTACAATTAACTATGGTTTAAGCAACGTGGTTGTTTTGCAAAAAATTAGACCGTTGGATTAAATTTAGACAGGTGTTATTCGTCTAGTTGTGTATTGAGTAAAATTGAAGGGAAGGGGTAGTAGAGAGGATTTGGATCTGTGATAATCATGTCTTCTTTTGATCTTTTTTTATTTTTTATTAAAATTTTTTTTTGTGTTTATTGTTTTATTTTTTTATTTATTTTTGGGTCATCTTATAGTTTGACCGCCTTCCTTTTACTGCAAGCACTCTCCAGGAACTGTTTTTGTTTTTTGTTTGTTTCATGCTTTGGCATTCTTTGGGCAGTACCTATGTTTTTTTATCAATGTGATTGGCCATACTATTTCTCTCTTTTTTTTTAAATTTTTTAGCACATTTTTTCACCCTTTCTTTAATTGTAAATAACTTTTACTCCATTCAATCAATCTTCTTTTTATCTTATTTTCGGTCACAACATGTTTCTTAATTTTTTTTATCAAGATAAGTTCTTGACCACAATTTGTTTTGTTTAATTTATTTCAGATTTTAATCAAGATAATTTTATCTTAAAAATTTTAATTAGGTTGTCTTTGTCCTAAAGTCTCACTTTCGTTAACCCTTCCTATGAAGTTTTGTCCTAAGAATTTTATGTTAGGTGACTCATTTTCAGGTATTTTTTTTAAGACCATGAATAGATTGATTTTGTCTTGACACTAAGAGATTTATTTGAAAATTTTATTTTAAGTGGATTTGCTTTTCAAGAATTTGGTCGCAAGTATTTTTTTTCTTTCCTTTTCTAGTGGGATACAATTTTCAAGCTTGTAAATTTTCTCATGATATTATTATCAAGATTGCCCCTTTTTTTTAAAAGAATCTTATCTCAAAAAACTTTGTTACAAGATCTTGACATGTAGTTGACTTTGTGTTAAGAATTTTATTTTAGGTGATTTCCCTAAAAAATTGATCCCAGGTAATTTTGTATTAAAAATTTTGTTTTATTTTTGTATTATTTTTTTTGTTTATTATTATTTAGTTTTCATTTGTTTATTTATTGTTCAACTTCTATATTTTCTTATATTTAAATTATTTCTTTTCACTTTTTTCTTGACTTTTAAGATGACTTCATTTTCAAAAGTTAGATCAATGAATACTTTGAAGATTTCAAAGATCAAGCGCACCTCGAGAAGGGTAGATTGTAAATTGCAAAGACTTTAGTTCATGAAGCAGTTTTGAAAGCAGCCTCAAGAATTGAAGATTATATTTTTGCAATCAGTGAAAATCTCCTCATGACGGGATGGAATGAAGAATTGAAGAACCCAATGGTGCTTGACCTTATTATCAATTCATATAGTAGCTTGAAAGTAGCTCATGATCAATTTTTGCGGCAGTTTGAAAGTAGTTTATATCATCAGTTTTCTCTCTCTCTCTCTCTCTCTCTTTTGCAGTAAGTAGATCTTGTGACGTGGTGAATTGAAGAATCAAAACACCCAGCATTTTTCGAGCCCACGATCAATCCTTGAGGCAGATAGCAAGTAGCCTACACCTCTAGATTCCTTTCTTACAGTAAGTGAACCTTGTGTCGTGGTGGATTGAATAATCAAAGGACCTAGCAGTTTTCGAGCCCATGATCAATCCTTGAGGTAGGTTGAAAGTAGCCTACATTACTAGATTCCTTGTAGTAAGTAGACCTTGTGACATGGCAGATTGAAGAATCAACGAACCTAACAATTTTCAAGCCCATGATCAATCCTTGCAACAGTTTGAAAGTAGCCTATATCATCAGATTCCTTTCTTGCAGTAAGTGGACCTTGTGACGTGGTGGATTGAAGAATCAAAGGACCTAGTAGTTTTTGAGCCTATGATCAATCCTTGAGGCAGATTGAAAGTAGCCTACACCACCAGATTCCTTTCTTGCAATAAGTAGATCTCATAACGTGGCGAATTGAAGAATCAAATGACCCAGTAGTTTTTAAGCCATTATCAATCCTTGTAGGTGTTTCAAAGTATCAGAAAAATTTATATCTCTACATGCCGGTTGGTATCCCTTCTTTGATAGGATGTACTATAGAATTGAAGAAGTGACAGTTCTTAAGCTTATGACCAGTCTTTGCAATAGCTTGAAAGCAATTTATAGCATCTGGCAATAGTTGACAACAAGACCAACAATCCAATAGTCTAAAGGACCTGCTTCACTATGGTGACGTGAAGTGAGGTTGAGTTGCTACTTTTGCATGAATTAATGGTTTTTGTGCTAATTTTGGGTGGCCTCTTTGTCAACTTTAGGTGACTTCTGTGTCAACTTTGAGCTACTTTTGTGTCAAAGATGACTTCTATTTCCATAAGTTGGTGACTTCTATGCCAACTTTGGGTGACTTTCGTGTCACATTTAGGTGACTTCCATATCAATTTGAAGTAACTTATGTTCCAAGAGTTGGTGACTCCTGTGTCAAGAGTTGTTGACTTTTGTATCAAATTTGTATAACTTATGTGTCAAGATTTGATGACTTATATGTCAAATTTAAGTGACTTCGGTATCAAGAGTTGGTGACTTCTGTGTCAAGAGTTGTTGACTTTTGTGTCAACTTTAGGTAACTTCTGTGCCAAGAGTTGATGACTTCTATGTCAATGGTTGTTGACTTTTGTATCAACTTTAGGTGACTTCTGTGTCAACTTTAAGTGACATCTATGTCAAGAGTTGGTGACTTGTGTGTCAAGGGCTATTGACTTTTGTGTCAGCTTTAGGTGACTTCTATGTCAAGAGTTGTTAACTTCTATGTCAATGGTTGTTGACTTTTGCGTCAACTTTGGATGACTTCTATGACAAGAGTTGTTGACTTTTGGGTCAAATTTGGATGAATTTTGTGTCGATAGTTGTTGACTTTGAAGTCAACTTTAAGTGACTTCTGTAGTAGCCTTAAATGACTTTGTGTTAGCCTTAAAGTTACTTCTATGACAACCTTAAGTTACTTTTATGGCAGCCTTATGTGACTTATGTGTCAGCCTTAAGTGATTTATGTGTCAGCCTTAAGTGACTTCTGCGACAGTCTTAGGCGACTTTTGCGACAACCTTACATGACTTCTGCGATAGCCTTAGGTGACTTCCGTGATAGCCTTGAGTGACTTCTCCCAATAGGTGGATTGTAGAATCAGATAAACAGAAGTTTTGAGCCCTTAACTAGTCTCTTATGATCAATCCTTATAGCAATTTGAGAGCATTTTACAACTCCCAAGACACTGAAAATTAAAGGATCAATATGGTTGTCCGTTGTTGCTCTGTTGATAGAGTGATGTACTTCTTCATCTAACTGTCATCAAGTGCAAGACCTTTGCCAACTAGCAAGTCGGGGAATTTGATATTTGATAAAGCTCCACTGACAACTTGAAGTTCTTCTTCTTTTGTTCTTTTGATTGGACTCATCATAATTTTGGTTGATGAGACCAAAGAGCAAAAATAGATTTTTTTTTGGTTATGTTAAGCCATACACAGTTTTAACTCATGTGGGCTAGGAGGAAATTTTTTTTTTTTGGTTAAGCCGTGCACAATTTTAACTCATGCGGGGTAGGAGTAATATGCAGTTTAGGCTTGTGCGTAAAGGAGCTGATAGACCTTTATTTTTGGTCAAGCTGTACACAGTTTTAACTTATGCGGGCTAAGAACAACAATTTTTTTTAGTTGAGCCGTGCATAGTTTTAACTCATGTAGGTTAGACGTAACATGCAGTTTAGGCTCATGTGTAAAGGAGTGATGCTTTCTTTCAGGTGTAGAAGCTCTTTAGAAATTTCTCATTGATAGGGTTAATCTTCAAGCCTTCTTTGTCAGCTATCTTGAATGTAGAAATTTGCCCTAACTCTTGAAGTGTAAATGGAGCTAGTTTGAATTCATTTGTTGAATATGATTCTTGTGATTGAGCTTTTTCTGTTATTTGATCAACGGT